ATTATGGGCTGAGCGTTTGTGTTCCCCTCCTAAGTCCCATGTCAAAGCTCTCACTACCCACAAAGTGATTTGGAGGTAGGGGCTTTGGGAGGTAATCAGGTGCGCATTAGCTCTTGACGGTGGGACTCTGATGGTGGGATGAACGCCCTAGCAGAAGAAGAAGAGCCCCGAGAGCTCTTTCTGTCTACGCACACGTGTGCTGAGGAAGGCCTTGCGAGGGCACTGTGGGCAGGTCATATGCTGCAGCCCAGGATGTGGGCTTTCAACAGGGCCTCCCAGCCTCCAGAACGATGAGAAGTGCGTGCTTACGGTGTCGGTCACCCCGTTTATAGTATTTTCTTGTGGCAGCCGGAGCAGACCACGGCAGTTGATTTGTAGTGAATAAATTAAGGAGTCATCACTTCCCTCTGACCAAATCATATGCTTATGGGAATGTTCAGGTCTATCACAAGCTTCATTCCAGCTTGGTGCGTGGAACACGGATTAGCACCACTGTGGCCTTAAGTTCTTCTATTTATGTTGTCCTGACACTGGGTTTCTGTGGTCCGGCCCGATCTGCGGGGATAGGAGGACTCGGTTGGCTCGGATCGGAACTCCATCCCTGTTCCTCTCTTGAGCAAAATCGTTTCACCTCCCCAAAGTCATTCAGTGTTTTTGCTATGAGACATTTTCTAACATGAAGTTACACAGAGTAATAAAGTGAATTCCCGTATATCAGTCCCTGGGTCCATGGGTGACAAGATTTCTGTACGTTCACTTTGTCCCTCACTTACTTTATTGGCTGAGTTATTTTAAAAGAAAACCCCAAGGCATCACTTCCTTTCACGCCTTCGTTCCTTAGTATGCATTGCTGAAAGAAAGGATATTGTCTTTTATGATCACAACGTTAATATTACAGTTAAAAATTAATTTAAAAAATTAATAATTATTTGGTAGCAGTTCATATCAATCCACAATCCCATTTCCCAGATTGGCACTGACCTAATGTTTGTCACCTTTTAAAGGGGGAAAATGATGCAACCCCCTGCACCCCCCGCCCCCGCTGCCTTTTCAGCTCTGAGCACCTCTACCTTCCTTCTCTAGACAGGAGGGCTTCCTTGTCTGCTGGGAAGACCTGGGTCCATCCTCCATTGCCAGTAGCGAGGTCCCTGCGGCAAACGTCACAGTCTCCGAGGCGTCCTGTCTCCCAGAGAGGGGAGACACGTGGGAGGCGTCTGTTTGGCAGTCACTGCCCTGCAAAGCCAGGGTCCCCCTCTCCACTGTCCCCCCTGCAAACAGAGCTGTTTACTACTCGCCGTTTCCCTCCGGAGCCCCTGTGCTGCCCGCACCCGTCACCCCTGACGTTTTCTCTCTTAGCCCGTTCCCTCTCACACGTGCCTTAGGCAGCTTCTCTGCCGGGTTTTCTCATCCATACAGCTCATGATCATAGATGAGCGTTCCTTCTGTGTCCTTTCCCTTTTCTCCCCTTGCCCCCCGCTGTGGGCCTCAGTAGCCATATGTCCTTGTTCTTGTCATTCTTTCCTGTAACAGCAAAACCTCCAAGTACTGTACTCATGTGTCTGCCCCCGGGGTCCTGCGGCCCATGACAGGGAACAGTGCGGCTTCTTCCTTTGGAAGCCTTCTTGGCGAACTCAGGTTTCCTGCGTGCTCTTCTCCCAGACTCTGACCCTGCTTCTGTGAAGTCACGTTCTGTTTGACACCGTGTCCTCTTTCCACTTGGGACGCCCGAAACATCGAGCTCACGGTGCTTCTGCGTGAGAGGAGCTCAGTGCCGCTGTCCTGACGGCTCTGGTTGCTGGCTCTGTACTGCTAGTCTGTACCGTGTGGACAGAGAATGTGTGTTCATTTTGTTCTTCTATTTTACTCTATTTCTGGGGTGGGGGACAGGGAGGAGTGGCGGAGAGAAGGAGCATCTTAAGCAGGCTCCATGCTCCGTGTGAAGCCTGACTCAAAGCTCGATCTCATGACCCCGAGATTGTGACCTGAGCTGAAATTGAAAGTTGGACACTCAACCCACTGGGCCCCCCAGACACCCCTCTTTATTTTACTCTTGAACAAAGAATAATTCTTGCTCCCTTTCTGAAGAAGAAATAAGGTCAGTCGAGCAGCAGACACATGGACCCGTTGACACCTTCTGTCTCCTGAGCACTCTTGACAAGTTCGCGGGGGACAGAAAAGATGACAAGACTCTCTCTCTTTAAGGAACTCGTACTCCAGTAAACTGTATTTTTAGCTGCTAAGCCTTAACCAGAATTTAAAGGCAAGATCAGTTACTATATCACCACTTTAAAAACTTTTATAAGTTGCCTCTTTCGTCCAGGTCCAGAGAGACAGTGAGAATCTCGAAGCAGTGAGCAACCCGGCCTCCACATTCTGATCTAAATGCGGTTTCACTCTAGAACAATCCGGGGCTGCTTGGAGAAATGGTTTGATTCTAGGTCTGGGGCTGAAAATGAGCTAGAAGGAGGAAGCCGTTGATGAATTTTGGGGTCTTATCTAAGGACACAGGAATGAACGTGAAGGGGCTCCCACGGGACAAAGACGGGGCAATTTGAACATCAGAAAGAGTGTGATAGCCATCAATGGCAATGCCAGATACATAAACCCACCGGTTTGTAATGATACTGACGCATGCATAACGCCCCGGTCACCTCTGGGGCGGTTCTCTACTGCAGTAAGTACCGGGAAAGCCTGTTCGCTGACTCTCCCGACCGGATCATTTGTGGTTCAGGGTAACCAATTGGTGGATGAGGGAAAAATCCTTCCTTAAAGACACATTCTGGGTTTTAGGTACAGAGAAATTAAAGAATTACAAAATCACCATTTTGTAATTGTTGATAAAATAACGAATCTGGGCAACAATGTATAACATGCTCCAATCCATGAGGAGGGAAGTCCATGGGACCTTTCCCGCGGGTGGGCCGTACCAGCAGTGGCCCCTGAGCATTTTACTCCGGAAACCTCACTGAACCGACCAGGAGCTGAGCAGCAGTGTGGGTCCTGTGCCCGGCAGAAGCTCCAGAAGGGTTAGGCGCTCTGGGTGGGAGTGTGATGAGAAGGGCAGGGGCAGGAGAGTGTGCTGATAACCGTCCCAGGAGCTGCGTCCGTCCCGGCGTCTCCTCCCCGGCTCCTGCGGGAGCAGCAGACCACACTGCACCGGCCGGAGAATAAGAAGGGGTGGTCCGGCTGGAGCCTCCTGGCGCAGCAGATGGGGAGGTACTGAGATGCACGCCTGCTCACCCGGTTTCTGCAGAGCCCTGACAGTGCCCGCAGCGGGCTCATCCCCCACATGGAAAATGAGCAGACCCAGAGGAGGGGCAGGAGCAGGGAGGCCGGGGCTTCCCTGGGGAGCGGGCCCAGCGGGAGGAGCCCGCCACGGCTGCACCTTCCTGCCGGCCCTCCCAGCGTCGCTTGTCTTTTCTGCAGAGAAGCCAGTCTGCCGCTCAGCCGAGGAACGCACTGGCCTCGCGGGCAGCTCTGGGCTCCACAGGGCAGGTTCATTGCTCCTTCCCTTGACGGGGTTTACCAAGAGGGCGTCCTTCAGCTTAGCGGGACGGCTGGCCTGGGAGCACTGCCCGTAGCTTAAGCAGGTTGGGTTGTTTGCACGCTGCGGGCGGGAGCCCTTCAGGAGACTGACCGTCTGTCTGGCGAAGGCCATGTCATTAGTTAAGGGGTTTTGTTCATCTCGCCGAGGAGGCTATGTCGCGTCCAGAGCTAACTGTGGGTGCTTCCTGCCCTCACACTCCTCGGAGAATGGTGCTCAGGCACAGGAAATGCCTGGGCAGCCTCTGATCAATTCAAATGTGTGTCCTTGCCACATATTTGCCATTTCTGGTCCCCGTCTTCGAGGAGAGCTGGCCTCGCTGATCTCTGGCGGTGCTGCCGCGTGTCTCCCAGTTCCCGCCGTCTCACTATACGCCGCGCGCACGCTTGTGGCCACTGCTCTTTCTTGCTTCGTCTCTTTCCATCCCTGGTAGTTTCCTTAGAGGTGATGTCCCCTAAGGCACTCAAACGTCCCAGTGGAGCAGCTGAGCCATTTCTCTGAACCCGAGTCTGACTCCACTTACCCCAGGCCTCGCCGGGTGGGAGTGCTGTGTCCCTCTATGACCACGGTCCCCGAGCACCCCGCCTTTCCCCGCAGGATGTGTTGGAGAAAATAGATGGAGTGAGCTCCCTTTCCCACCCGGCCCCCAGTCCCTGCTTCCCTTCATTCTTCTGAAGGGTCAGTGAGAAGACCACACGCGTGGGGCCAGCACAAGGTCTTGCAGAAGCCCTTTACCGGCTTGGTCTCAGCCTTCCCGTTTGCAGACAGGGCATCATAATGCTCGTCTTCTGGAGTAATTACTCGTTTTGGGGTGTGGAACGTGCTCTTGAGCTCCGAGTGTTACGAAGTCCATGAGCACGTGTTGAGAGCATGTTGGGGACGGTAGGCGAGCATTCTCAGATCCTCTCTCCCTCCTCGCGAAGGGACGGGGGTAGGGCAGAGGCAGAGCAAAACAGTTTGATCTCACGAGGCTCTATTTTTGTACCAAAAATGTTGCTGTGGAGTTATTCCCTTCAATGTCTGTTATATAGATGGACTGTCAACTCCTTGGGGACAGGGCCTGGCATTTTGCTTCGTTCCGAGTAATTTGTGTAGAAGTATTTGTCTGGTGATAAAATATCCTGATTCTCCAGTCCTGCTGGCTTTCTTGGAATTTAGTAAGAATTTATTCTCTTGGGAAATGAAGTCTTCTACAAAACAGTAACTTCCTTTTTTCCTGTGTACCCCTAAAATGGAGGAGTTGCTAGTGATTATTTAAATAAAGTGACTAAAACTTCTGCTTTTTGTCTCTTGTGATCAGCGCCCCTTTATTTCTGTCAGAAGATTGGGCCCAAAGGACTGTCCTGGATTGTGTTAAGGATTTTATTTTGCTCAACCGCCCTGGCCCCCCAGGCCTCCAAAGCCCCCTAAGTTTTGTTAATTAACTTTTTTTTTTTTTTTTTAAATTTCTCTTCAGAGAAGAAAGATGTGACTCAGAGCCTGGAGAACTACACGTGCAAGTGCCCCGGGACAATGGAGGTCCTCGCGCTGCCCGGCGGCCCCACCCTGCCTCCGGTGCCCCTCACCAAACTCCCCATCGTCAGGTACGGCGGGCGGCCAGCGCAGACCGGGACCTTCACTGCTGCTGTGTGCTATAGACCTTTGCCATAAAAAAAAATGTTCTTTCTTTATTTATTTGTACATTTATTTAGAGTGGGGGAGTGGGGCGGAGGGAGAATCTTAAGTGCGGGCGCAGAGCCTGACGTGGGGCTCCATCGCACAACCCTGAGACCATGACCTGAGCCGAAACCAAGAGTTGGGCGCTTAACGGACTGAGCCCCCCCCCCACGTGCCCCAAGAGCTTCCGTTATGGATTGGGCAGGTGTCTGGTTCGTTATCTCGTTACTTCTCCACAGTAGCACTAGGCCGTGTAGGTATTGTGTCCATGAGACGATTTGCCTGTGGTCACCTGCTTGTCAAGAGGCAGAGCTGGGTGCGGACCCTGGTGTGCCAGTGCCTGGTTCCAGACCCCGCGTCATGACCTCTGCGGTGATGATGTGAGCCTGACCTTGCCTCTTCCACTTACAAGCTTCCAGTAGTTTCCTGAGTTCTCAGACTGTAGGCCCGGGCAGCACCGGAGTGGGTGTAGCTGCTCCTCTTTTCTGTGGGGCCTTTGCCAAGGCTCTGTCTTTTCCGTGCACGCTCGTGCTTTCAGACTCAGCCCAGGCCCCATTTTTAGGGAGCTTTTCCTGCTCCTTCCTCCTGCTGCCCTCCACCTGCCCTTGGTTAGAAGAGTCCTGGGATTTCCGGAGCACGTGCTGCTGGCCTCTCTTCTAGTGTCTGCCACTGTGTCCTGTCCCTCCGCATAGCTCACAGGGTTGGAGGGAGTGAGGGCCCTCTGGCACATGCCAAGTGGGCACTTAAAAGGGTTTAGGAGCTAATTTTATGATGATTTCGGAATTTCTGAAAGATTTGTTTGAAGACTGAAAGGAGGCAGTGGAATTGGACATTTTGCTGTTCACAGAGGTGCTGTGACTGAAGACGTGACCACCTCAGAGACACTCCCGGCTTGGCCGTCTCTTCCGTGTTTCGCTCAGCTTTACAGTACAGCTGGGAGGGCCTGCAGAGATACGTAGCATCTGTTTGCTTAAGAAGTTTTAAAACCCATGGCATTAGGTTATTAGGAAAAGAACATGGAAAAGCCTGTGGTGTGGTGCTTGATAGCTGTGGGCGTGCTTTCTCCTTGCGTTTCGCTGGAGGCACGTGCGGCGCTGCCACATGACATGGCTTTGTTGTCAAGGTGAGGATCGTGTGCCCCTGAGAGGTGGGACAGAACATCGCTGTGCACAGAAGTCCCCAGCAGGCTACCCTTGAATTTTAAGATGTTCCAATGGGCGTGCATGGAGTTCGTCGGGCACAGTTGGTGAGCTGCCCCATCCCAGAGCCCAGGCTGAGGCCTGAAGAGGGGCTCTTGCTTGACTTGGAATTTCTCAGAGCAGACCCGTAGCCGTGGTGTGGACTCCCTAGCAAGTATGCGCTGCTTTTGTTTTGCCTTGTGCTTGCCTGTGGCGGATACAAACTGAGGAAGTCAGGGTCCTGGCTGGGCCTTTCTGTGTGTAAGACTTCACGTAGGATGTATTTGATTTGGGATTAAGGGCATGGTACATATTTTTAAAAATTGACGACTAGCAAAGCCTTAATTTTTTTTTTTTTTTAAAGATGTTATTTATTTGTCAGAGAGAGAGGGAGAGAGAGCAAGCACAGGCAGACAGAATGGCAGGCAGAGGCAGAGGGAGAAGCAGGCTCCCCGCCGAGCAAGGAGCCCGATGTGGGACTCGATCCCAGGACGCTGGGATCATGACCTGAGCTGAAGGCAGCTGCTTAACCAACTGAGCCACCCAGACGTCCCTTCCTTAATTATTTTTCATCTTCATCATGACCTGGATCGTTCTGAGATTTAGGCAGCCTTGCACAATAGGAAATCCTGAACCTACGAGAACATTCTAGGATTTTGATGCTGCATCTAGATCCCGAAGCCATCAGGATTTTTGTCAGTGGAGCTGGGTGGGTTGGTCCTGGCGGGTTATGGGACTGAGGAGGAAAAGTGCCTTTTCTCCACAGGGAGACACCAGACGCAGCCCTAGATGGAAGTTAGAAACTTTGGGTTTAATTCTTGACTACTGTGTGGCCTTGGTTCTGTGAGCCTCAGTTTTGTAATCTTTCAAATGGGCTTGAAATTGCTCCTCATGGGACCATTAGTTTTGTTTTAGCTGAGCTGATACACACGAAAGCGTGGCACGTGGTGGCGGTGCAGACTGAGCCCGCAGTAGATCTCAGTTCTCACCTTGGAGACCGTTTACGCCTACATTTTCATTGTTACTATTATCAATTTTTTTTTTTTTTTAAGAGAGAGTGAGAGCACGTGAGTGGAGTGGGGAGGGACAGAGGGAGACAGAGAAGCCCAAGCAGATTCCACATCCAGCACAGAGCCCCATGTGGGTCGATCCCACTTGGAGTTCATGACCTGAGCCAAAAGCAAGAGTCAGAGGCTTAACCTACTGAGCCACCCAGGCGCCCCAGCACACCTGAATTTTCCAACAGCGCACATTGGAAACGTTATCATTTCCAATAACGATACTGTGATGGTGACACTTTAATCCCTTAGATGCCTACAAACTACAACAGATGGGCAGAAACATAATAGTCTGACATTTTGGCAAATACTATTAAATTTGTGGTGACCAGTGTTTTGGCACGTATCTCTTTCGCTGTCCGGGTCTGCACGGCCCGTACTGGAGAGCCACCTCTGAACGACTAGCTGAGCCTGGCCAGAGTCCTGGTGTTTCCCGAACCTGGCGTGGTCACGGACCATTTAAGAAAAACTGGTTTTATGTACTTCCCACCATGTGTAGACATGTTCTTAATGGTTCTTGGAGACTTTCAGCTACGAAAATAAGCTCTCTCTGTCTGTCCCCGTGGCTTGCTGATTGCATCCATCCTGCCTGATCTCATTACAAACTAGAACTGTCACTGCATGTGATCACGTGTAGGAAGCCGAGTGGACGGGCTCTTTACCGCACGGCAGAATTAGCGCTGCTGGCAAAGGGTAAGGAAATGCCTGTGGAAGCTTTGGAAAGTCCGTGTGTCTCACAGAACAGAACCCCACGTGCTTGCCCTGCGTGGCTCATGAGGCCGCCTGTGGCCTGCTCTGTCTCCAGAGTTCATGTGAGCTCCCGTTCCTCTGGTGCCACCAGCCCCACACATCTTGCAGAAGCACGAGGGTCCCAGAGTGTGGGACAGAGTTTTATTCCTTTGTTCTGTGTCCTCTTCTGCTTGAGGTGTCTCTGCTGCCCTGCCTCTGCCCACTGTTACTTAGTCATCCTTCGAGATTGGTTGAAGGACTGGCTCCTCCGTGAGGCCTGTTCCTAAGCCACCAGACAGGGATAGGTGCAGCTCCTGCGTGCTTTGCACGGTAACTCAGCTGCTGTTTGGCTCTGGATGAAGGGGCCCAAGCTCTTTCCATCCCCATGTGCGGCCCTAGTGAGAAGGCGCTGCTGGGGGACCAGGAGGGAGGACGGCCCTCACTAAGGATGCAAGTGCGCTGGTGTCCCCGTCTTGGACTTCCAGCCTCTGGAGCTGCGAGAAGGAAATGTTTGCTGTTCAAGGGCCCTCATCTTTGGTAATCAGTCACAGCAGCCCGGGCTGATGCAGACGAGTGCTCGAATGGCCTGGCTTATCCCAGCTGTGCAGCGGGCGGTGTCTCACGTTGTGGGTGGTCTGGACGCGCATCAGCCATGAGTGTGATTCCTCAGGAGCAAGCCCTTACAGAGTCGGGCAGCAGAGAACCCAGAGCTGCGCTGTCGTGTGCAGCAGCAAACAGAGAGGGCGGGTGTTCTGGAATGCCCACTGAGGCTGCCGGACCCACACGGCTGCTGGGGGCACGCGGAGGCGGGCAGGTGCTCGGAGTCTGTGCGCTGTGCCCAGTGGCCCACGCTGCCTATGGGATTGCCGCCCTCCTCCCAGATCAGCCTAACTCATTTCTCTCTGCGGAGGGCCGTGCTGCACTGTGGCCTAGGACGGCGTTCCAAAGACTCAGGCCTCGAGACATGGACTGTATCAGTTTGATTGAAAAAACCCCAGCCAGGCATTGCGAGGAAGTGCTTGGCAATGTGTCTGTTTGAAGACCAAGCTTCTGGTGACTGTGATAACTCGTCACAGGACGAGTCGGTGGAAGAATGCCCATGGCCAAGTGTCAGTGACCAGACCTGCTGTGTGGTATCGTCAGACACAAGCTGCTTTGATGGTGGTGGTGCCTCCTGGCTGCGGCTGTGGTTTTAGAAGAAATGGCTGGAGCTGTTGTTCCTGTTGAGGACTTACCTAGTTTTGGGCAGTAAAACCATCTCGACAGCTTACAGGAGACACCTACCCGCCTGTAGGCTTGGGGGCGTGACCCACGCTCACCCTGAAACGGTGTAACGTCACCCTGGTGCAAGTTAACCAAAAGGAGGGGCCACAGTCCACCTCTGCTATGATTCTGTTCTGAAATTCAATGAATCAGATATTTATTGCGCGCCTGAGATGGGCTTGGCCCCATGGGGAATCCTGGGGCTTCAGTCCTCGTCGAGCAAGAGCCAAGCTCACACTAGCCGGGCAAGCAGGAGGCCTCCAGACCCGTATATCCAGTTCCCGCTGGCCAGCGCGAGCGCAGAGGACGTCCCGTTAAGACGAGAAGCCGTCTTATTTTATTCCTTCTAGAACTCTCCATAAAGTGGTAACGTACACAGAAGCAAGTAATGGTCACGTAGGCCGTTCATACATCGCAAGTTGTGAATTATTAAGGAAGAAATGGTGTGAACCTTAGACGCCATTTCCAGTGAACCCGTGGGGCTTTCCGGAGGGGGCACTGGAGGCGAGCTGGTTGGTTCTGATGAGCTAACACGGAGCTCCTTCAGTCTGGCAGAGAGCTCTAGAGTTAATGAGGGTATTTTAATGGGCAAGGACCAAACCCTTCGGTCAGAATGACCTCTGAGTAGCTTTCGAGTGGCTTTGGTGCTCTCGTTTGTTTATTCTTAGCGAGCGAGCGCCCATGTGCACGAGCAGGGGGAGGGGCAGAGGGAGAGGGACAGTCCTCGGGCGGTCACCCTGCTGAGCACAGAGCTGAAGCAGGACGCTGAGATCACAACCTGTGCTGAGACCGGGAGCTGGATGCTCGGCCAACGGAGCCTCCCAGACGCCCCAAAGAGTTAATTCTCAAGTCATGTCCGCACACAGCGTGGGGCTCCCACTCACAGCTGCACGATCGAGCGTCGCACGCTCTACCCCCTGAGCCCCGAAGTGAAACTTTTAAGTCGATTCTGTTATCTGAGTCAAGATGACAGGTATTTATTCAGAAAAGGGCTTAGAAGGCCGTGTGAGTCGGGGCGGTTTCCTTGGTTGATGAAACAGGACGGTCGGGCTCCCAGATCCCAGTCCGGGTGGGGCTCCCAGGACCTCCTCAGGTGCAGTGTGTCCAGAATCTTCCCTCCACGCCCATGACCTACCCGACGGAGCTCACACTAGGCTTTGTGGGGATCGTGAGAGGCGTGTGGTCCGGTCAGGAGTGAGAGCTCACACGTCACTGACCTGGTGGCGTGTGCACTTGCCAGCCACGTCCGTCGTGCCCGGCCAGGTGTGGCCAGGTGAGTCACGGCCCGTCTGCGCGGAGATACCCCGCGGGTTCTTAGGTATGTTTCTGCTGTGAGGAAGGTAGGTGGATTCAAAACCAAGGGAGAGGAGGTAAGCCGGTCTCCCCGACCCTCCCGTCGCCCATGGGTGTTAGCTGAGTCCCCCGGCCAGTGCCCCACAGGGCCCCACACGGTCCCGTCAGCCGCAGCCCGCCGAGCGCAGCTGGCCTCCGACCGGCGGCCGTGTCCGAACCAGATCTCTCCAGGCAAGTCCTGCTTTGGACACTTGATCCCTGGAACTCCACTTTCCCCTAGCGGCTTCGCAGACTGAAAGTGGCGTTACTGGTTCTGGGGGATGCATGCTGAAGGAGCTGTGTCCTGTAGGTCACGTGCCTTGTGTGATTATTTTTCTCATAGGATACATTTCATAAGAAGGTATTTGAGGCTAAGTTTTGAGTTATGTGTGAACCCCGTGGCCGCTGTTGGGTTACTTTTCTGGCTGACCGTGGCTTTCATTCTGCAGGGACAGTATGACAGAAAGTGCCCCCTGCGGGCAGGCGGTCCCAAGAGAAGGGGTTGCATACCCCGGTTCTCCTGCCGCACTGGCCCCCTCCCTTAGGAGGAGTGAGGGAGGGGCACCGCGAGGGCAGGACTGTCCCTCTGAGAATGTGGCAGCATGGAACCAGGGAACGGAGCTGTCCTCAGGTAGCCGGGCTTGTCCCTGTTTTATAGGTGGAAAGATCGAGGTGCAGGGGTGAAGCGGTCTGCGCCAGCCCCATACCGGGCGGGTCCTGTAGATGGTGGTCAGCGTCTGCGTACTCCCTAAATCCGCTTCTCGGGCCGACTGAACTGCCTGCCAGCGAGTGCCTCTGGGCTGGGCGTGCGCGGCTGGAGACCCACACGAGGCCTGCCGGCTCGGCCGGCTTCACGGTGTGCTCGTCTTGGTCCCGGCGCAGCGCACGGGTGTTTTTGGCACACTTGCAAACGGCTGGGGTCGCAACTCTTAATACAAGCTGCTCAGGCTCGAGTTCAACGTTTTGAACGATTTGGGAGCGGAGTTAGAAATTTAACGTTTGGGGGCGCCTGCGTGGCCCAGTCGGTCAAGCCCCCGGCTCTTGATTTTGGCTCGGGTCGTGATCTCAGGGTTGCAAGATCCGGGCCTGTGTCAGGCTTCGCACTCAGCGGGGAGTCTGCTTGGGATTCTCTCCTCCCTCTGCCCCTACCCCCTGCTCGAGTGCACACACTCTCTTGCTCTCAAGTAAAGGAAGAAATCCTAAAAAAAAAAAAAAAATGCCAGGGCTGCCCGGGCGGCTCAGTCAGTGTCTACCTTTAGCTCAGGTCTGGGATCGAGCCCTGAGTCGGGCTCCCTGCTCGGTGGGGGGGGGGTCTTCTGCTTCCTCCTCCCACCCGTCCCCCTGCTCGTGCTCTCTCTCAGATAAATAAACAAATAAGTAAATAAAATCTTAAAGAAAAAAACCCTCAACTCTTGGGCATTTATTCATTCAGTATTTACTGAGCTGTCTGTCAAAGTGTGGCACCAGGCACTGGGTGCCCAGGTGCCCCTGCCCTGGAGAGCTCCCAGCTCAAGTGACACAGGCAAGAAATTTTAAGTGATTCCGATCCTGTATGAAGAGAGCTTAGCGGAGGGGTGTGTGCGAAGACAAGGGAGTCAGAGCAGGTGAACAAGACACAGTCCTTGGCTTCGAGGGCTTTGGTTTGTAAGTACCGTCTGCTCCTGTGGATTTTTGTGGGAGATGGACAGGAGCCACGTGTGTGGCCATCAGTGGTGGTCCAAGCAGGGGGCATGGGGAGTTGTGAGCGACTGCTGAGGGCCGGCGAGGTGTGTGTGCTCAGGGCAGGACTGCCCCAGGTATCGGAGATCCCTCCGGCTGAGAGGGCAGTGCTTTGTGGACTCTGAAACAGGGTCTTTTAAAGTCAATATAGGTTAGCCTGTGCCACGGCCAGAATACTGACCTTGAGATCAGAGAAAGATTAACCCTTACAACGAGGGCTTATGTCTCACTCACATGAAATTCAGTGCAAGCCGGACAGTTTTCCAGCTGACCCCAGGGCTGACCCTTGGGGCTCCTCAGTGTGTGAGAGTCTGTGTCCCTTTCTGCCCCGCCTTGCCCACATCTGACCTCCAGGATCACTGCGGTGGAGGGAGGAGAGCTGGAGGACGGGGCGCTGCTTCAGAGCGTTGTCTCCTGGTTGTGTGACGTCCCGTCGGGTGGAGGCACTGCACGGATGCTGACATTGCTCGCCATCACAGAGAGGCACATGGAAACTGCGATGAACTACCCGTCACACCTGTTGTGGCGGCGGTCATCTGGAAGTTGGGGGGAAGGGGCAGGGGACCTCGAGCAGTGCTGGGGGTGTCAAATCAGTCTGACCACTGTGGAGGTTCCTCAGCACATTAACAGGAGCCCTACCCTGTGACCCACCAATCCTGCTTCTTGGGTATGTGTCCAAAGGGAATGAAAACAGGGTCTCAGGAGATGTGTGCACCGCGTGTTTGTCCCAGCGTCGTTCATGATGGCCAAGTGTGGAAACAACCTCCGCCCATCAACAGATGAATGGATAACAATCTATATGAAAAAGGAGCACCCGGCTGCTCTGTTGGTGGGACATGTGGCTCTTGATCTCGGGGCTGTGAGTTTGAGCCCCATGTTGGGTGTAGAGAGGATTTAAGAAAAAAAAAAACTAAAGAAAAAATGTGAAAAAAGGCATCCTGAAGGAGCTGAAAGGAAAATAAAATGAAAAGTCCCGGGGGACATACGTGAGTCCCTTACCACCCCTTGGCCTTACCTGCCTGCAAGGAGGCTACACACACACAGAGCAGGAGCATGGGCAGGGTCCCCGCTGGGCCACCCTGTGTCCCTGCCTCGGAACATTCCAGAGCCTAACCCCGTTTGCCTCCCAGGTTTCAGCTGTCACAGCTCCCAGCCATGTGATTTGGGCAGTTTATTATCTCTGTGGTGTCCGTGTCCTGACGGATGACGTGGAGGGTCGGTCATGGAAGCCAGCGAGGAAGGTGGCTGGGATGTCTCGTTGACACTATTGTACGAGGTGGTGAGCGGGGGCCCGCATGTGCTCCGGAGGCCCACATCCGTGAGTCCCAAGTAAACGGCCAACTGATGGGAGTGTGAGTGGCGATGAGCTCACCTCTGTGGCTGGGAGGGCAGTGTAAACACAGGCTGTGCTGATGGGGGGTCCCCCTCGCTCTCCGTGTCGCAGACGGCGCTCTTTACCTCTGCACGGGGAGTCCTTGGCCCTTCCAGTCGGGGCTGCTCTCCTGTGTGCTGGGGGCGCGGCCGCCAGGAGGGAGGCAGGCGGCGGGAGGAGAGAACCGGCCTTGCTGAGCAGTCCCTCCCAAGCCCTGATGCGAACCCTTGCGGTAGCGTGCGAGGGAGGCCCCTGGGTGCGTTCTGTGGACGAGGAGCCCCAGGGTGGAAGGAGGCAAGGCGCTCGTGCACGGTCACACAGCTGGCGGGCCGTGTGGTGTGGACTTCGGCCTGGTCCTCGAGGCCGCCGGAGCCGGTGGGGGGAGCGGCTGCTGCCTGGGCTGGTCCCGAGCGACCACGCGCAGCGATGCTCTGCTCTGTCCTGTCGAGCCGGAGTGCCTTTCCCTCTGCCGTGCCATGGACTGTCTTTCTGACACGTGGTATTTGATAGTATTTGTGTCGACACCGTGCTAGCAAGGCTGCTGAAGTGCTTGTGTTGTGTTTGAAAACCCTAGGCGTGTGAAGCTGTTGAACCTTCCCGCCAGCCTCCGGCCACAGAAGATGAAAAGCCTGCTGGGTCAGAACGTGTCGGCCAAGAGCCCGTTCATCTACTCACCAATTACCGCGCACAACCGCGGGGAAGAGCAGAACAAGAAGATAGGTAGGTGCCTCCCTCCTGGCTTTCCGGCCGTGCCGCCTGGCCTCCAGCAGCTTTTCTAGATTCCCGTCCGTTCCCGTGTGTCTGGATAAGCTCATCTCGGTTGACGCACTTTGCTGCCATTGTCAGAACTCTGGGCTAGATGTGATTTTTTAAAACCGATTCCGTCCAGGGTGAGTCTGCGGAAGTTCTAGCAAGTGGAAGACGTCTGTTAGCAGGACAACAGGAGAGGGATCATCGGAGCCCAGAGTGGCTTCAGGATCATCCGAGATCAGACGGTGACTTGCACTCAGACCAGCCTGGGGAACGGGAACGGTGTGACATTCTCTGTTGGCCCTTGTGGCCTGGGCCTTGTTTGCCTGGGAGCTGACGATGTCGATTCTGAGGGGTCTGGTGGTACAGTGGGGCTACGTGGAGCCACGTTTCGGGGTAGAGCAGGAGCCCGTGTGCATTCTTGAGACTCTAACGTCCTTTTCTGTGTGCCAAGCTCCCCACTGGGTCCCAGCCCTGCCCCCCTCCTCCCTCCCAGCAGACCCAGGGCTTGTGGCGCCCACTCTGTCCTTCCCGAGGCCTGGCTTGGCCACAGGCCTCGTTCTTTGCCAGCTCCCGCTTCCTCCCCTGACATTCTGGGTGATGGTGCTGTTCGCTGCCAGATGTGAGCCTGTGTGCCGCCGTGTCAAAGCGAAAGGCTTGAGAGGCCTGTCTCTGGTGGGTACTTGCCTGCTCTCTGAGGAGTTTCAGCACAAGACCCGAGAAGCTCTTGCTCTCTGCTTTTGAAGTGCAGAGCTTTCTTCTCCTCTTTTATTTCTACTCAGAACCCCGCGCCCTGGATACAGCGGAAAGGCAGGCTGACTTGAGGAGGGCCTTCTTCCCGGGGTGCAGGTGCCCTCAGGCACCGGCGGTTCCACCCACCCCCGTGGCCCCTGCGGCACTCTGCCTGCCTCTGTTCTCCTCCTGCTCCTCTCACCTACCCCCACTCCTCAGACCCAGCCGCACGGGTCTGTTCTTGGAACAGAACAGTCTTGGTCCTGGCTGTGCCCTCTGCCGAGGCTCATCCCCGGGCTGTCCCCAGACGGGATGCCCCTCCCGGCGCTCCGTGCCTTCGAGGCCTGGTTCTCTTCACAGTTCTTATGTCCCCGTTCGCCTGTTTCTGTTTCCCCTCCCTCCATTTGCTCACTGCCATGCTGACGGCTGTTAGAAGAGTGTTGCACAGATGCAGGAAGGAGTGGGTAGATACTATGAACCCCTGGTCGTGGGTGTTCAGGAGGGCATGGAGCATGGGGTGTGGTGCATAAACAATGATCTTGGAACACTGAAAAAATTAAAATAAAATAAAAGATATTATGAACCCCATTTTACAGATAAGGAAACTGAGATTCAGGGAGTTTAGATGACTTGCTCAAGAACCCAGAGCAGGCCTTGGCTTGTGCTGCCTCCGTGCTTGTTGGCTGGCACCGTGGGGGTGAAGGCCAGAGGGATAGTTTGAGAGTTAGGCACTTCCCATGGTCTCAGGGAAGAGTTTCTAGAATTCCTTCGCAGCTACAAGCATCTCATAATAAACCTTATTCACAATTAGTTAATTGAACACCTTAAAAACAAAAAAGTGTTTCCTAAGAGAGCAGGTTGTTCCTGAGACAGAGGGCATGAGTGGGCTGGGGCACTAAACAGACCCGCTGCTCTCGTGTTACGACAAATCCTTCTTTATTCACAACGTGCTTTATCCAAGGGTGTTGTAGCTCAGCTCATTGTTCTTGGAGCAAGTGTGGTTTTCTCCCTTGTGCAGCGCACACACAGCAGGGCCTGTGTGGAACATGGTGCACCGTCCCTGCCCTGCACAGGTGTTCGGGTCAATGGAGGCAGCAGGCAGGCCAGAGACACGAGTGGGAGGTTAAGATGAGATGTAGGTCAAGTGGTCTCAAACCGTAGAACTGTCACCAGCAGGACCTGCTGGTTTCCCTGCTGAGCTTGGACAGGCAGTCAGCGCCGGCCCGACAGGAGTGGGCCCACCTCCAACTTTGGAAGGCACCCTGGAGGCTCCCTTGATGGTGAGGTTGCCTCTCGAAGAGCAAGGTAGGGCTCGGGGGCTCTGTTGTTGATTATTTAAAACAAGAAGACAATAGAGGAAGGAATTTGGGGACATGTCCCTGAAAAATAGCATCAAATTGTAAATTCTGATAAATTTCTGAAATTTGGAGCCCTGAGTGTGTAGCAAACTATACTAGTCTCTGTGAGCGTGTGTGCATGTGTCCATGTGTGCACACATGTGCTGTGTGCATGTGTACGTGTATCTGTGCATGTGCAGTAATCTGTGTTTGTATCTGCGTGTGCCCACATGCACGTGTATCTGTGTATCTGTGCATGTGCGCACATGCGCGTGTCTTGTTGGTTCAGTCTTTAATCCAGCAGTAGACTCCTCTGGAGTTTCTCCTGTTTGCCAGGCATGTGGCGGCTGTGGCCCCGTGGTTCTTGTGGTGACAAGCAGTCACGTCCCTGTTGTCACGAGGTGTGGGTAGAAGTTGAAAGTGTTCAGTAGTACTTTCGAGCAGTAGTAAGTAGGAGCAAGCGGACCACAGATAAGACGACGGCTAGTTCTGATTAGTGCCACTGAATAAACAGAGATGGGCCGAAGTGGAGAAAAATCTCCTTTTCTGCGGTGTGGAACCCTTGCCTTTCTTGAACTTTAAATATTTTTCATCTGTTTAAATGAGGAGACCTTGAGCTTTCTCTGACAGTGTGGGGGTGTTTTCCATTTGCGTTCTGGGTGACGATGTTGCCTGCGTGCTCTTGCGTCCGTCACGCAGGCATGAACTCCCCTCGCTGCGGGTCAGGTGTTGTAAGGGGTACAAACCCAGGCCACACAGACGTTTGCTGGGGGCCAGGTATGGACGCTCGGTCCTCTGACCCCCGCCTGCCATTGTCACTGTGCTGCTTGGGCTGAAAGCCTGAAAACAACGTTTCTCCTGCTCCATGCCAGCCACATGCTGTTGGGTCGGCCACAGAGACCCTCACGTAGGCTGAAGGTGCAGAAAGGCGGAGGCCGTTCCGCTCCTGGAGGCCCTCCCGGTGATGGTGGCAGCGGTTCCGGGTGACGTGGCTCCGCTTGTGCTTGTGGTGGCAGCTGCGGCAGCCTTGGTTGGGGTGGCCGTGGCGGCGGCGGCGGCTCCGGCTCCGGCTCCGTGGTCCAGCAGCGCCTGGCATCTGATGAGGGGCCAGTACTGGCCGTAAGTGTTTGTTAACCTGGAGGAGTGACACAGTGAGCCGCAGGTGTCTCCTGGTTGTCCTGGAACGCAGGCCGACCAAGCAGGCGTTTGTGGCAAAGTTTGTCTTTGACCTTCTGGCTCCAGCCTGGTGGTTTTCAGACAGCCCCCTCCAGCCCGGGGGCCCCTGCTCCGGAGGACAAGCTTGAGAGCACTGGAAGCAGGGAAGCTGGGTGGGCACCGTGGTAGGCCGGGGAGGGCTGGGGGCTCCTGGACCCACTGCAATGGGCGTTCCCCCGCGTGGGGCCTGTCTGCCCGTGGGAACCCTTCTTTGCCTTTTGGGAGAGGAAGACTCGGGACCTGCTCCGCCTCTGTCTTCTTGGCTTTCGAGGTGGGCAAATCACTCTCCGGGCAGACCTAGACCCAACGTCAAGTCGAAGCTTCTCCCCCTTGGGCCATCTGGGAGTTTCTGGCCTCGCCAGGGTGGGCCACATGCTTTCTCCCCTAAAGAGTGTTTTTAGGAAGCTTTCACTCATTCTGTTTAGAAAAACTTCCGGAGGTTACTTGGGAGACTGGAGGTGTGAGAGTCCTTCTCAGGACCAGCTACTTGACTTGTGGGGCCCCTTTTCAGAAATTATGAAGACTTCGGAGCCTGTGATAGCACAGCATTAGTCCCTTCCCCCCCCCCCCCCCCCTCTGCCCGGGCCCATGCGGCTGCAGCTCCAACCCCCTCACCCCCCTGGGGCCAGTCCTGCCTCTGTATTGTCCATTCTCAAATTGTGGAGCCTTCTTTTTATGAAAGTGACGCCTCCCCTGTTGTGAGGGCTTCAACAGACATTGTCCCGTGATCAGCGTGGTCAGACAGCTAGTGAGTGCCCAGCTCAGTCTCCAGCCAGGGTTTATGACTCAAAGCCCAGGGATTTCTTTCTCTGTAAAATGGTTTCCTCATCACTGTCAGGAGCCCTGCTCATCTGGGCTGAGGATAAATTCAGCAGATGATGCAAGATTTTTTTCTGAAATGTAACAGACACCTCGGCCAACATGCATGCTATTTGTTGAATACCCATGGGTAGGAAAATGTAATTTATATTCTGTGGCTTCTAATATGTTTTCTGCAGTATTCTCATCAGCAAAGACCTGCCTAGAGCTTTGAAGAATCACGTATCTTTAACCTAAAATCCCAATCTCTATAAATGAATCTTTGTGTATAATTGGGAGAGTTATCATCACAGCAGGGGGCGTGGAGTGTTTGAGAAGAAAGCCCTGGGCACAGTTGTTGAGACCGTCTGCACGGTACCTTGGAATAATTTACCCATCTCTCTGTCTCCTGGTTGCTAGTGTTGCTGCCGTCCCAGTTCAGCTCTGTGCAGATGTGTTGTGGCTCAGGTCCTGAGCTCGAGCACAGCGGGGAAGGGTTTTCTGTCATTTGTGCTGGGACTTTGGGACATGGCCAAGCTCAGTGCTGAGGTCAAGGTCAGTGTAAAGGTCAAGTTGGCCTGCGCAGGCTGTGGGCTGCAGCCTGGCCCTGCAGTCTTCCCCTCACCCCCTCAGACCAGATCCCGTTTGCCTGGGTGCAGTAGAGGACGAGAGACACTGACTTAGAGGCTTCTTCTGGCGGTCAGGTGAGGCGACATTCCTGAAGGACCTGGCGCTGTGGAGAGAAGGTTCCAAACAGCCGTTGCGTGCACAGTCCTAGGTGCTGGGCAAGCAGTGAGAAATCCGGGCAGCTTCCTACCGGGCGGGTCCCTCCGATGTTGTGGAAAGACTGTGGCGTGGCTCCAAGTGCAGAGGGCCTGGTGCTGGGCGGCTGTCGGGTGGGATTGAATCTGTGGTTTCTGGGACAGAATCTCGGGCAGGGGCCTCCCCCATGGGATCTGACACACTGAGGCTTGGAGAGGAGATTGTCTTCTTTCCGACATCAGTGATCACGTGAGCAGGGATTTATCCTCGACTTTCCTTCAGTGCAGTGGGACCTCTTACGGAGGGGACAGAGGAGTCGTTCTATACGTCACTTAAGGTGCCTGCAGCACCATTTTCCGAAGTACCAGCCTCTGGGCCAGTGAAGGTCTGGGTGACGTACAGGCCGGTACCATGAATGGCGCTGTCTGGGCTGCTTTGTAAAGTTGGGTTTGCACCCCGGCCTGAATTCAGCGCGCCGAAGATGGCGAGAAACTCCCGTGACGAAGCATCCAAGGGGCAGTGCTGACCCGCGTTTAGAGACGGCCACAGTCGCACTAGCCGTGACTTCATCTAAAGATGAACGTAACGCCCGCTGTTTCACTGGAAAAATAAATCGCCAGAGGAGGAATCTGCAACCATGTGAAAAACGCAGAAATCCCAACTAATACCTAGGTTCTTCTATGTGTGCATTTGTAGATTTCCAGTGGGTTCAAGGAGACGTGTGTGAAGTCCAGCTGATGGTGTACAACCCGATGCCGTTTGAGCTCCGAGTCGAAAACATGGTACGTATCGGCCACCACCACCTTCCCACGGGGCTGTTTCTTACTTAATATCTGCGGCACCGATCCCGTGGTATAGATCTGTTCTTTTATTTGTTTTGCCAAAAATTACGAGGTTTCTGTGAAGGAAGTCCACGTCGTGTCATTCCCGTGTCTTTAGTGCTCGGTGCTCAGTGTTGGGATCAGTGAACAGACCCCTGCTGGGGACACGTGTCGCGTCACGTGTGGGTGACTGGCTGTGAGCCCTGGAATGATCGTGTTGAAATGCACATGAGATCGGCGGAGGTTACAAAGTGTGCGTTCTGTCGGCTGCTCCGTGTGGGCCTTACCTTACTGCTGCAGGAGGATGAGATGGTCAGGGCTGGAGGGAAGAGCGTGGTCTGGACAGTAGGAGAATAAATTATCGCACGGCCAGTGGGAGCGTTCTCTCAACGCTGAAATCCAGTGTCTGTTTCCGTGTTTGGTGCCCGGCATTAAAGCCTCATTCTGTGGTGCTGTCCACTCGAGCCGCTCACGGATTCTGTGGTCCGTGGGAAGGAGATGTGTACGGGCTCTCCAGGCTCATTCTGAAGGTCCCGGACCAGAGCCACCGCCTGCCGTGCGGGTCCTGTGTCCCAAGTCTTCTCTGTGTTGCTTGTGATGTAGTGCCGCTGGGTACTGTGGCTCATCACCTAGTGCCGTGCGTTGCTGTGCAGTGCGGCTCGTGCTCTGGGTTGTTACCTCATACTACGGATTAGCACGTGGTCCTGCTTCGTGACTTTTTCAGACTCTTGCGAAGGATGGTTGTGAGATGGTTCATGTTTTCCACTAGAGTTTTATGACTCGCGTTCAGGGGAAGGGGTGGGGCTTTTTGTGAAGCTGTCTTGGTGACGGCTCATGCCATGTATTTGGCCGTGGGCAAGGCACTTGAAGGACCTAGTCCTTGTCGTGGTCAGTGCTGTGGGTGCAGGAGGTGCTCCAGGGCCCACGTGGAGAGCTGAGGAGGACTTTCTGGGAGAGACAAGGACTCAGCTGAGAAATCAAGGATGAGTAGGAGGTTATGAGGCCGACTGGTGGTTATTGAAGATGATGACCAGCTCTCGACGTGAGGCAGAGGTTTCTAGAATTCATTAGAGCTCTGAGAAACTTGGCTGCATGTGAGGCCTACAGCCCTGAGGTCACTCAGAGAGCAAGCCAGTGGGGATGAGTGTTGTCCCCCTCTTGTCGTGCAAGAAACTGCTGGCTTTAAGGTTTGGCTCTCGGGTTAGGCCTTTTAATGACTTTCTGTCTCTTGACTTGAGCAGGGAATAATTGCTCAGAGGATTTTCCCCCAAAGTGCCTCAAGTGTCAGATGGTCTGTTGGTCTAACACTTTTTTTTTTTTTTTTTTTAAAGTAGCTTTCAGGGGCACCTGGGTGGCTCAGTTGGTTAGGCGCCCAACTCTTCATTTCGGCTCAGGTCGTGATCTCAGAGTTGTGACACTGAACCCCACCTTGGGCCCTGTGCTGGGTGTGGAGCCTGGTTAAGATTCTCCCTCTTCCTCTGCCGCTCCCGCACCCCCGCTGTCCTGCCCCCTGCACTCTCTCTCTCTCTCTCAAAAAAGATAGCTTTTATTTTTATCTGGTTTAAAAGTAATATGTGCTTTTTAATGAAAAGTTAGGAAGAACAAAGAATAAAATAAAAATTGCCACTAGAAGGTAGGCCACAAATCATGGTCAGAATTTAAAGAATGAAATTATGAAAGCGTTCAAGCATTAACAAACGAAATCATGAACTATTTCAAGCATGTGAGGTGGGAGCGGGGAATAATGAGCACCCCCAATACTCACCGTCCAGGTTTGATGACTGTTAACAGACGGTCATATTTGCCTCACTATTTTAAGAAGAGATAAAATGCAGTACATTTTGCCTGAAGATAGTAGCCGTCCACGTGCTTTCTGTGCCCGCGCTCCTGCCCACAGCCCCTGTCCCCCACGCAGATCGTTTTGTGCTTTGTCTCAAAGTGTGGCACAGGCGTGCTCCTTGCCGCCAGAGCACCTGCTTCTGCGTGCTTCCTGTAGACGGAGGAGAGGTGTGCGTGGACACGTAGACGTGCAGTTACATATAAGCCTACATGCACCTGTGCCCGCACACATGCATGTGCACGATGCGCGTGCAGAACTGGACCAGCCAGACTTTGCCGCGGTGCTGCCAGCCCTAACCTGTCCGTGCAGGACCCTCTCTCGCCTTCGCCCAGTGGAGGACTGAGGTGTCAGCACCATGGCGCTGGCTTCCTCACCCCGTCCTGTTGCGTGTGGCGTGGGGTCAGGGCTGCATAGGCTGCTGCCCATACAGAAGACAAACCCCAGAAGGAGCCGGGGCCTCTCCTACGTGCGGGTCTGGGCTCTGCGTCTCCCCGGCGGCTGCAGATTTCACACGGTTACACAGCACTCATCGCTCTGTTCCCTCGCGGTGGACATTTTCGATCTCTTAGTGAATGGTGTTTCTGTATTTTATTTTCGAATTTTTTTTGTTTATTGCCAGATGAGAGAAATACCTTTGCTTCTCTTTATGCTGACTTTGTGACTTTGCAGAAGCATTTGCCAGTTCAAGTCCCACTGTCAGTTCCGTCGGCTTTTCACATTTACAGTTTTGTGTTTTGTGAGTAACTGTCTGCCTCCCTTTAGTTTCTGTTTCTTGCCTATTGTGCCGGGCAGGGCCTCTGTACAGTGTTGAGAAGTGCTGAGTGTGGGCAGCCCTGTACATCTGCAACCTGGGGCAGCTCCTCGAACCGGGACGCTGTCTTGTTCCTGTGGCGCGTAGCCTGGCGTGCAGCAAGGCGAGCTGATAAGCCATCGGTGTGCTGAGGGATGTAGTTGGTGGCGCAGCTCCGCACTTCCTTTTTCTCTTCATGTTTACGTATTTTGTTTTTCTTTACATTTACATTCCAGCTTGGTAAAGCAACAAAACCACAGAGGAAAAGCACAGCCAGCAGGGCTGACGTCGAGATGGGGCTGTTCAAACAGCCACGTGCTTTCCCTTTCAAAGTCGTGCGTGCCAAGCATGCTTCTGGCCATCCCCGCGGCTGACTGCGGGGCTTTATGACGGCCGCGCATGGCTGTCCCCACCCCCACAGCCTGGGGTTGCCCGTCAGCCGATGCCCTCGGCCTCTAGGACGCGGTGATGCGGTGGCGTGTGAGCTGTGTCCCTCACGCCGCTGTCGCTTGCTCTAGGGGCTCCTGACCAGCGGAGTGGAGTTCGAGTCTCTGCCTGCGGCACTCTCCCTGCCCGCCGAGTCTGGTCTTTACCCGGTGACTCTTGTTGGGGTCCCGCAGACGACCGGATCGATTACTGTCAACGGTAAGGAGACCAGCTTTCTGATTGCAGGTCGAACGGGACTCCCGAAGCCCTGTCTGCCCCACTGAGGCCTGTCCCCGATCCCCCAGGGTTGGTTCTGACTGCTTGCTTCAGAGATACTGGGGCCGTGCCCTGGCAAGGAGTGGCTTGGCGTGCATGGGCTGCAGTAGGCCCACAGCGTTCCCTACAGTGCGAGGGGTCCTGCTCTGTCAGGCCTCTGGTTCCTGTCCCACTGGGGCTGCAGACATGCCCACAGGCTCCCGCTGCTGTCAGGCCCTGCTGGACCCCCTGGCTTCCCCTCGCTTGGTCTGACCTTCTCTCCCCTCAGCCACCCCCGTTCAGAGGTCCTTGCGTGTGTGCGGGATCCGCCGTCCCCATTCCTACTGGTGTCTGACCCTCTGTGTCTGACCCGCTGCATGCCCCTCCCCTCCTCCTGAGGTACCCGTCCCTCTCCTGGGCTCCTGCGGTTCTGAAGCACGCCCTTTCTTGAGCTCCCCTGTGCTTTCCCTTCTGCTGGCGCGCTTCCAGACTTGGCTGCTCCCGGCTCCCTCCAGCTCTTAGCTCAGACTGCCTTTCCTTTCGGAGACCGTCCTCCTCCCGTCCTCCTCCGTGCTGGGTCGGGTCCTCTGCTGGGCACTCAGGCGGTGCTCTGCCCCCGAAGGCAGCTGCTCACTGGCCTCGTCCGCCGTGCCACTCCCCGGTGTGTGGTGGGTCTACAGGACCTCCAGTCACTTGGTGACGTGGTGTCTGTGGTGGGTGAGGGGGGTGTCACGCTGGGTTAGGACGTGTTGCAGCAAGCACTGAGGGGCCCTGCACACGACTGCCGGGAATGTGGGGAGAGGTGACCCAGAAGGGGAGTGGGTCGAGAAGGACTTCCTCCTACTAAGGGACCCTGAGGTTTGAAGGCCAACTAGGAATTATCCGAATGAGTGGGGTGGGGAGCAAGGGGGGTTCCAAACACAGAGAACAGCTGGTTCAGAGACCCATGGAGTGCTGGGGACTTGGCGGTGGCTCTGAGGATCTGGTCCCAAGCAGAGGGGTGGTAGTGATGGGGCTGAGAAGGTAGACGGAGGCCAGACCCAGAAGGGCTAAGGGGTGCTGGCGTTCTCTGTGGGCCCGCATTTCATGAGAGGAGAGATCCTGTCAGAGAAGCCGTGCAAAGGGACCTCCAGGCCGCTCCCTGGAGTACAGGCTGGCGGTGGGCTAGGCTGGGTGCAGGGAGACCAACTAGGAAGCTGCTGGTGTAGCCCTGGGATGAAAGGACCAAGGTGGGGTCAGAGCAGTGGCTGGGAGTGGAGTAAAGACAGATGAGAGGGGAAATACTTAGGACTGATGGCCTTGACCCCTAATTGCTAACCGATACCCGCTGGATAAGGAGTCAGAGCCTTAGTAACCGAGCTCCGAGTTGGTACAGACCAGTCACGTTCATCTTTGGCGCAACTTCTGTGGGAAGGAGAGGGCCTGACCTCGTGTTATGTATCATTAGACATAGCAGGACTTGTCATCAGGTTTTGCATTTCTTTGCAGTCGTCTTCAGCGGTGCGTAAGGAAAGAATGACTGATTTTAATTAAGAAATGGAAAACAAAAGTAACTTAGACAAAATCACATTCTGTCAGGTTTTCTGGAAAGAAAAAGAGGAGGGGGCATATTGCCAGATGTGGACTTCCGTGGAGGAACACGTTTGCAAGTTAAATTAGGTCTTTTAGGAAACATATTTCGAAAGGAAGGCAGCGTGGGTGCTGTGAATTGGTGATTTTAGGTTGGGAGAGCAGTTTGCCACTGGCAGGCAGTGAAGGAGCCGCTGGGGGGCCGTCGGGGCCTGACTCCCCCGAGCTAACCACTTTCTTCTCTGGTTCCTGGTGCCGCATGGAGGTCTTTTCCTGAAGCACATAGCCATGCATGTTGTCTAATTTTCTTACACAGCGAACACTGTTTATAATAATTATCTCTCGAAATTTCAAAAGCCATTTTAAAGCTCTGCTTAAATAATTTTAAGTGCTTATCTAACCAGTGGAGTTTTTTTTTTTTCTTCTTTTTGCACGGAGAATCCGCTAATCTTTGGTCACAGCACTTGGACACAAATGGCAGATTTGCCGGGTCACGTAGCAGTTACAACAGTAATTGGCTCTTGAACTTTCATCTCTCCACGGAAGGGTCTGAATCATTTTTCAGATACTTACTCTGTCCGTTACGTCCTGCAAAGGAGCACTAGCTCCCGCTCTCTTAGAAATTTTGAAAATTTTGAAAATCTTGAAAATTTTGAAATTTGGAAAGCAAATTGTCCAAGTCCTGGGAACTAGTATTAAGTTGCCTAGAGATTTCTCGTTGACGAAGACCCACACACGCTTTCACTTGGACCCAGGCAGTCCCGTGAGGTAGGGATGTGGGGACTGTCACCCCTGCGTCTCTGTGAGGCAGCCAGGGCTTCGGGCTGAGCTGTGGGTGGGACCAGGGGGTGACATCAGACTGAACTCGGGTCTGGGGCGAGGGCCGCGTGCTCCACCCTGCTGGGGCCCGCCTCCAGACAGGGGCCTGAGGCTGGAGGCCTTTCCAGGGCTGTGAAGCTCTTCGTTTCACTTCTCAGGTTACCACACCACAGTCTTTGGCGTCTTCAGCGATTGCCTGCTGGATAACCTCCCGGGGGTGAAGACCGGCGGCTCCACGGTGGAAGTCATCCCGGCCCTGCCCAGGCTGCAGATCAGCACCTCCCTGCCCAGGTGGGATGCGGGCATCCCTTGTCCTCCAAGAGAGGGCCCTTCACTATCGTCCTGAGCATTCATTTTCAGTGGCACCAAAGTCTGAGTTCATCCCTGATACTTAGGACCAAAATACGGGTGGAGCGTTTCTTCAGGATGACCAGTGGGCAATGTGCTTTGCGTAAAGTGAGACGGAACAGAGTTGACGTGTTTCTTACCACGAACACAACAAAATGGGAGATCAGCCTTTGGAATCCTATTTTTTGTGAAAAACAGTTAACTCCTATCTTTTAAAAAGTAGATTTTCTTTTTTTAAGGAGCATCATAGGAAGGCATGAAGAAGGGAGGGAAATACACCTCAGGAGTCCCAGAAACCGTTGCTGTTAACGCTTTGTGGTTTTCCTTCCCAGTGTTCACCACCTTCTTTTTCGAGACGTATGTTTGCGCATCGCGACGCTGCAACATTATACCTCGTACCCCAGGTTACGTTTGGATAACCATGTACATACGCCAAGAGTTTCCATTTTAATTGCTTCCAAAAGTATGTTGTAAAGATACTCAGTTTGGATGATGAAAGTGTTTTAAAACAGGGTGGGTAGCAGTGGCTGTTGTAAATTTACTAAAAATGATCAAATTGCATATGAAGACGAGTGAATTTCATGGTATGGAAATAATACCTCGATTTAAGAAATGAATTTTCGTGGCTTTAGTGTGGAGTGTCTGATTTCAGGTGACCGTTCCTTGAGTGTTGCTTCTGATTAAAGTAAATATTGCTGTGACTTGAGCTATCACATTCACTCCCACGCGTTTCCTGACACCTGCCACACCATCTAGGCTTGGTCTATAGGAGGAGACACTAACCAGAAATGCCCTCGACCTAGGCTTTGCCTGTTGTAGGAGCTCCTGTCTGGAGAGTGTGTAGACTCTCCATAGTCCAGTTTGCTACGTGCTCCTGAAAACAAGAAGTAGAGGGAGGCCACTCTCCCGTTCATGGCTCAGGAAGTCTTCACAGGTGTGATGTTTAAATCGGGCCTTACGGGATTCACCAAAGTTGGCTAGATGATCAGGCAAGGAAAAATATGGCCAGAAAAGGAGACATGTCTGACTGCCATCTCCTTACTGTCACTGCTCACCCACGACTCAGCCCCTTTCTGGTTCTGGCTCTGTCGCGAGGGACACTGGACTTGGCGATGGTTGGCACCTGTGTCGGCCAGGCCCTGGGCCGCACGGTGGCTCTGCTTTCTCCTGCCTTCTTTCCCTGTGGTGCTGGGGGGCTGACACCCTGTTTGTTTCAGATGCAAAGTAATTAGTCTCGCTGTGTTTCAGTTTTTCTGAATACCTCCTCTGCAATTTCAAGTTAATTGCAAACAGCTTTTGCTCTGGAAGGATGGGATGTTAAAATACGGGAAGTCATTTAGAGTGAGGACAGGAGTCATGCTTCCTTCCTTGACAGAGAAAGTTTATTCCTGACTCATGAGCAGCTTTGAAGGTGTAAAATGTAAAGGAATGCGTTCACCTTGATTCCTTATGATATTATTTTCTGAAAATGTGGTTTGGATATAAAGCTTCTCTCTCAGAGCCAGCAATGGGAGGCCCCAGGAGGTGCATGGTTGGCTCAATAAGCCTGATTTGTTTAAACATCATTTCTTGGATGCCAGAGGTGTGAGACCAGCACTGTCTGGAACATTCTCTTCTGTCTTTCGGACCAGTGTGGGGCTATGAAGCTCTCTTGCGGCACATAGAACAGGTCTTGGGTCTGACCCCAGTCCTTTGGTCTGTGGCCAGGAGCAGAGCTAGAAAGCACTGACTGGCAGGGAGGCTGTTGGGCCCTTGCTGGGTGGGGTGACCCAGAATCTGTCCATTTCTGGCTCAGTTAAGTATATGGCATAGACTCATGGCGCTTTCTGTAGAAAATCCCTCAGGTTCAAGGGGGAAGAGAGTGGGGTGTCAGGAGGGCCCGCACCCAAGAGAGAATGTTGACCCTTTCCTCCAGTGGCCACCCCCTCTCTTGGGGCCAAACCTCCCAGAGCATAGCGTGTGTATTTGAACCTGAGGGCTATGGCCCAGGAGCCTCTGGGGAGAGGCGGCAGGCTTCGGGTCTGCACGCGGGGCTGCACGCTCACTGGCCTGGGCCCCAGCTGACCACACAGATGCCACAGGACCCCAGGGGGCTTGCAGCCTCTGCTGGTCGTTTTCATCTGTGACGCGGAGTCCGTTTTACATACTTTCCATCGATCTGTCCCTCCAGTTCCCGTGTTGTCCGTCGGAATGGTCCATCTAAGTTTTCTTCTTTAATCTACGGGTTTTCACAAGGCAATTCTGAGCATGAGATTTGCAAAATTTTTTGAGAGAGCAATGGTTCATGGATCCTTTGACCTAATTCACTGTTTCATTTTAGGCCCTGCCATAATTCAGTAGTTAAGGATTTTTACACACGCGTGGGCGCACACAGTAGGCCACAGCGGAGCGGGAGCACAGGGCGTGGCTGCACATGGAGAGTTGTCCGCGTGCGGCTCCCGGCCCACGCTCCCGAGAGCTGGGCTTCACGCTCCCCGGTCCCTGATTCTGGAATGCGTTCAGTCTGGTGATGTGACTAGTTCTGAAATGCCACTGTTTTCTTTGATTCTTTCTTTTCGAAGTTTACTCTGTTGCTGCTATTTTAGGTCTGCGCACTCCCTGCAGCCTTCTTCTGGCGACGAGACGTCCACCAACGTGTCGGTCCAACTTTACAACGGAGAGACCCAGCAGCTCGTCATCCAACTGGAGAACATCGGGATGGAGCCGCTGGAGAAACTGGAAGTTACCTCCAAAATCCTCACCACCAAAGGTGGGTCTGAACCCAGAAGTGGTTGTCGTCTTTGTCTGAGGAAGAGACGTGTCGATGGCCGGTGCTGAGAAAGCGTAAAAGCTTCTTCCTCTTCTGGTTTGCTGCCCTCCTGAGACTGACGAGTCAGGAGCACACGGAGGAGGGCAGAGGAGCGAAGGACACCTTTGTCCCTGGTGCTGGTCACGTTTCCCAGACCCTCAGGAGGGATACTCTGGAAGGAGGGAGAGACGTTAGGGGCGCAGACCTGTCGTGGCTTAGGGCCTGTTTGTCCAGCCCTGGGTCTTTCTGCAGGTTCGGTCATAGCGCCGTGTGCTCCCGCTTCAACACAGATGCTTTGTTTCCTGCTGCTGGGACGCGGGAGCTGGGCGCCGTGAGACCTGTGTTCAAATTTTGGCTTCACCATTTACCAGCCGTTGGTCCTTTGCATGTCGGTCCCTTCCTGGGCAGACGGGGGGGGGTAGCACTTAGCACGTGAAGTAAAGTAGGTGCGGCGGATTCCCGAGGCTGCAAGGTCAGTGAGTGATACCGGTCGAGGGGAGTGTATGATACGGAGGAGGGACAGGGGTCGGGAGGAGTAAGTGCAAGTACTGTCAGGTCATGTAATGATGTCTGAGAACGTACATGGGCCAGTGAGGCCAAAGACAGACGAGGGGAGGTAAGCTCGCAGAACTTGGGGTGTTTCTGTGCTCTCAATGTGGGGCGAGGCGAGCCAGGTCTCCATGGGAACTTGACCGGCTGTGGCTGAGTTCCTCCGGAAGGGTACACTGGCCGCCTTCTTACTCCCTGGCACAGGGCTCCCTCCTCAGGCTAATGTCATCATGTGGGAAAAACCAAGTGGAGTAAGTTCATCAGAGGTAGAGCCCCCGTTGGTAGTTCCCTCTCGTTGGAGGGAAGGGCAAGGGGAGAGTTTGGGAGAATTTGTCCTGCAGATCATTATACTGTGAAGGAAGGAATTTGGATTGTGTAAAAAAGGGTGGCTCTGAGCCCATCCTGCTGGGGAGAACGCCAGAGCATCTCGCATTCCCTTGTTTCTCTCCCTGATTCTGATGAAGTGTGCAGGAGGGACCTGTCCTGGCTTGCACACTGTTGCCGTCTGTGCCTCTCCTCCTAGGGAGATGCTACCTAAGTTCAGGTTCTGGCTGTCACTTCCTCGCTGTGTGTTACCTTGGGCAAGTCATTTAAATTCTCCTGGACTTTTCTTCTGTAAAATAGCACTAATAATAGCATCTACATCACAGGGTTATTATGAGAATTTGGTAAGATGATGTATGCAAAGTGCTTGGAACAGCGCTTGCTGCATTATTACGCTCAGATTTGTTAGCTGTTACTGTCACTGCTGTCACCATCTCCACCTCTACCTCCACCACCACCACCACCACCACCTCCATCACTTCCACCTCTACCATTACCTCCACTGCCTTCACCTCCGTCATCACCATCACCACCATCACCACTACCACCACCACCACCGCCACCATCACCACCATCGCCACTATCACCATCACCTCCATCACCACCTCCATCTCTACCATTACCTCCACCACCTCCACCACCACCACCATCATCACCATCACCATTGTTGCTACCACCAGCAACGTTGTCACCAGCACCGCTGTCACCCTTATTGCTGCCACCATTGTCACCCCTGCTGCCATCGCCATTTGTTCGCGTTGCCATGGGAGGCTCTACTGTGTGAAGGCCGCACACTGTATGACTCAGCACATTTGGGTGGTTTCCATCTTGGGACTATTAAGAGTAGCGCTGCTCTTGAGTATTTTGGCGCGTGCTTTCGGGGGTGTCTGCAGATGTTTCCACTGCGTGTATCTCCAGGAGTGGAATGCTGGGTGAGGGTAGGTGTACGTATACTCAGCTTTAGAGCAGAACACTTTTCCACAGAGGCTGCACTCGTACACTCCGTCATCGTGTGAGAGCTCCGGTTGCTCAGGTCCTCACTGATTCTTGGCCTTTGTAGTCATTCTGGTGGGGCGGGTGGGTGTCACCGTATAACACTGGGGTTTTAGTTTGCATTTGTTTGATGACCAGGGAAGTTGAGTACCTTTCATATGGTTTTGGACACTCAGATCCTGTTTTATCCAAGTGCTTTGGTCCCTTTTTCCCACTGGGTGTTCTTCTCTGTCTCACTCTGTTGCCTCCCTGTGTCTCCCCATCACTCCTGACTCGTAAGATGTGTGTGTTCTGAGTATGAGCTCTTTGCTGGGAAGAAGTGTGAATGTCTCCTGCGCGGTTGCCTCTGTGGTCTCTTAGTGGTGCTTTGGGTGAATGGAAGTTACTCATCGTAATCCAGTTCACCTAATTAATCACTGTTTTCTTCTGTGGTCCTTGCCCTTTGTGTCCCATTTAAAGAAACTTTGTCTACTCTTGGCCTGTGGGAAGCTTTGGATCCTGCCTTAGGCTCATCCTGTCTTTCCCCTATTTTTGGGAGCGGGTACATAGGGATTAGGTAGGAAATGCCTCCCTGACAGGAAATACCTTCATCTGGTATTTGGAATTTAATCCTTGTTTTGAGGGTGTGGTCGGTGTTGGAACCCGGGGACTCTGGGTGAGTGACACATAATCCCAGAGCCCGTAACGGGGAAGCATGTCCCATACCTTCCCTCACCGTCACAGCTTAGCAGCTGGAAACCGTCTTTTCGTTTTCTCAGATAAACCCAAGTGGTGATCGTGTGTCCACTGTTGGTTAGGAACTTGCTGCTCCTTTTTGAAGCGGGAATCCTCCTGTTTGTCCCTTTTGGAAGTCCTTGAACAACTTCCTATGGGCCTGGACCCTAGTTGCAGGGGCCTGTGCGACTGGCCTCTGCCCCATGCTTTAGCCTCCCCTTTGCCCACCTCTCCCCTTCAGCTCCCAGCGCAGAGGTCGTTCGGATCTCATTTCAGGTGCCTGGACAATAGGGTGCTGTCTTTTACACTTGAGGATAAACCGTCTTCTCTCTTTAGAGCTCAACTCGCGGACTTCCACTCCTGCCCCTTTACCTGCTCATTCCCAGGGAACTTCTCTGCTGGCTTCCTGCTTAGTGGTCACCCTGAGAACCCTTCGTCCCCTGGCCTCTTCTGTCCCCTCCTCTGTTGTCTCAGAGGGCCTCCAGGTGCCCGGTGTGTGGTGGTTGTCCTGGGAAGGCTCTCTGTCCCCGAGCAGCTGTGAGTCTCCCAGAGGCCAGCGTGGTGGCCCTTGGACCTCCAGGCCTAGTATCTGGTCAGTGCTTAGTGCTGAGGGGTTGCCGATGGTGGTGATGGGAAGGGGCTTTCTCAGTGATAGAACAGGCCTGTAAGAGTCTGCCCGGTTCACCTGCTGAGTGAGTGGGGTGAAAACTTGATGCGTCTATATCACTTTGATATTTCTAATGAGTTGCCTGGGTCCTCTTAGATGCCCAGCTTTGGGCCATGTGAGCTTCTGCCTCTGCTGCTCTGTTGGGACCCCCTCCTTCCTGCAAAGACCTTGAGCTGCTCTGTGTTGGGTGAGCGCTGTCTGTCTCCAGTCTGGCTTTTGCCTTCCTGTCTGGGCTTCCCTGGGCTTTGGTGGTGTTGTGTTTTGAACCCTCAGGGTACTTACTCTTTGTATCACCCGTCCCGTCCCTCTCTGGCCTTTTATTGGGAGAGTGTTGAGACACACAGAGGAGCTGGGGAGTTGCGCAGTGGACACCGTGTGCCACCGTCTCGGCTCTGTAATTAACATTTCCCTGCATTGGACTTATCCCCTCTCTGTCCAGCCTCCTCTCTGTTCACGGACCCATCGTATTTGTTAGGGTAGTTCAGTGTCGGGTGTGGGTTTCAGTGCATTTTACCTGCTAAGACGTCTGGTGCACATCACTAATTAGAGTTCTAAGTTGGTTTGCTTTTTTTGGGTCAAATATATTTGCAGTGAAATGTACAAATCTTAAATTATCATTTGATGAGTTTTGACAAGTGCGTGTGTCCCCTGGCTCCCTTGCCAGCCAGTCCCCGCTTGTGGCCAGAAGGGCTGTATTTATCAGGTTGGCTTTCAGTCAGTGTGGACTGGTCGTGGTGTAGACCACTGGAACCGCTCGTGAGGACTGGGCAGAATACCAGGGTGAAGCCTTCCTCAGAGGGTACGTCACACGCACTGTCAGCCACCTCCTCACCCCGGTTCCCAGACTGCCTTGCCCACATCTCACCATCTGCCTTGGGGCATCGCTTTCCTCGCAGATCTTCCCCTCTAGGCGGCTCTAGGGCGGATGGGCGGTGTTAGTACCCTCTCCGTGTGGGTAGGGGCAGCGAACGCCCCCGTGGTTAGACTTGTGTGAGGCCGCACAACAGGTTCTGGAGGACTGTGGGCCTCGCACTCTCTGCTCTGGGACCTTTACCCCAATCACGAGACCGGGAGCCTCAAATGCACAGTGGAGAGCGTGGAAGGTCCACTTCCAAACAGCACGTTTACAAGTGAGAAAGGAAAGCTGCCAGTCTTCGAAAGTTCTCACTGCAAGCTGCATACGTTTACATGTGGAATTAAGTTAGTAAAAACAATCTGCTTCCAGCGTATACAAAGGGAGTAACTCTGGTCACTTACCTTCTACAGTACCAAAAAGCTGTGGGCATTAATCAATGTTCTCGTATGTAGGGGAAGAGGGAACGATGTCTTAAAACGGGAACAGGTGCAGGAGTGAGGCGTTTGAGTGGGGGATGGCAGCAGAGGCTTGGTGAGCTCTCTCCGTTTGTGGTGGGGACAGTGGGCGACATCTGTTTCCATGTGAGCACGATCTTTATGAGCCCGATGAGTTTGGCTGCTTCTTCTTCTCCTTTTTTTAATAACACATAATGGAATATTTGCCTCAGGGGTACAGGTCTGTGACTCAATCTTACACACTTCACAGCATGTACCATAGCACATACCCTCCCCAATGTCTATCACCAGCCACCCCGGCCCTCCCACCGCCCTCACCTCCAGCAGCTCTTGGTTTGTTTTGTGAGATTTAGAGTCTCCTATGGTTTGTCTCCCTCCTGATACCATTTTGTTTCATTTTTTC